GTTTATCACGCGGAGAAACCCCGAGCATAGCCCTCTCCATAGCTCGCTGAGCGACCTTGAGCTTCCTCATACGGCCAGCAGTGAAGAACCACGTCTCAGATCCGTAAGTCATCACTGGAAACATGCACTGGTTGTACAATTTCGTTTTAAGGTTTTGAAGTATGTCTGACGAAAATCTAATGTATATAAATTATAAATATATATCATCGTCTACATTACGTATCTACCGTCCATCTACCGTCTACGTTACCTACCACCTTGAGATTCATATAAATTTTTGTTCGATAAAATTACTTTACCTTTAGAATGAGGTAGGTGGTACTATTACGAAGCAATTTTATATAATTTCAGATTTTATAGATTTCATCGATTTCAATCCGTAATAGGCGTGTTATAAATTTCAAATAAATTTATTTTGTCAAAAATGGTAAACAATATTACAGCAAGTAACACCTGGCCTTAAATTGGCATAAATCAAACCAACATTTATAAAATAATATAGGTCATTAAATTGACATTTATCAAGATAGTTAAGCAGCGTAGCTGGTCATTAAATTGACGCTGATCAAAATATTTTAGCAGCATAGCTGGTCATTTCATTGACGTTGTAGTGGTTTGTTCTAACAGAATACCCCTATGGATAAGTACAAGCAAAGTGCTTGAATTTTGAATCATTTAGTTTCAGGTAGTCCCACCAGTAAAAATTTGATTTTAATAGGGAACCTACATGTAGGGTCTTGATAGGAGCGCTGGAAACATGCACTCTTTATTTACCTTGAGGCATGTGATATAGAAAAGAGTAAGAAAAAGAGAGCATGTTTGTTACATTTTAGTGGGCTTTAATTGCAAGAAATATTTTATAATATACCTGACGCCACCGTAATATCTGCTGAAGGAGTTGATATTTTTCTTATAGCTATAAAAAACTGGATGCATTTTTCACACCAAAACAGAGTAAGGTGTATGAACGCTATCTATTCCTGTTAATCAAACAAGAAAAATATGAAAAATTCAATAAATTCTTAATACTTTTAAGACAACATGCAAATAAATATGAATTAAAGATAAGGATGATCAAATCATCGACCAAATAATAGAAAAATATTCCTCTAAGGAACTTAGAAATAGAATACTACAAACAGGAGATTCAATAACTTTGAGTAATATAGTGGTAGAATTTATAAGTTTTGGCGTAAATTAAGAGATTTATAAAGTGGATGTAAGTCAAAAAAGGGAGACTACAACGAAAAGCAAACAATTGAATGCGGGAGGTGTGGGAGCTCAAGATATGCTTCCCACAATAATAAGTGACCAGCGAAAGATAAGGACTATTTGAAATGTGGATTAAGAGGATAATTTAGACAATATTTTAAAACAAGGCAGCCATTCAAAAGAAAACACAAAGCAAGTAAAAACAACAATAATGACAATATTCGTAAGAAATATAAGAGGAATCATCAATGAGAAGGTGCTTGATTAGCACCTTTTCATGTGAATCAAAAAGAAAAGGATTATATACATCACGTTTTTTGAATCGATGAGGATAGACAGTTGGAATGCAACATTGGTGGGGCAAAAGTCAAAATCCTTGTAGATTTTGGATGTTAATGCAATTTCCTTACAGTTCAAACATTAAAAAAAATTAAAATCGTACTTGTACGTAAAAAAACAGAATCCTAAGAAAACTTTTTTCGGGTACGCAACTATCATCAAAACACAACATGTGATATAGTATTTTGAGGCAGATCGGAAAACGATACTTTTTACATTATTGCTGACGGCACAAGGAATTTACTGGGCAAGATACAACTATTTCTATTGGTTTATTTAAAAATGGATTTCCAGTTAACCAAATGTAAACAATTACGTCGTTCCCGAGGTTTTAGAACGTGATCCCGAAATATTTCGTATATAACTAAGATGTGAGGGACAAATAAATTTCATAGATGACATATTATTTAATGGAAAAATATATAAGAGCATGATCGAAGATTAAAAATTGTTTTAAAAACTTTACAAGAAAATAATGTGGTCCTAAAGAACTCATGTCAGTTTAAAGTAAAAAAAGTGCAGTTTCTAGTCCATAGCAATATATACCTAAAGCTAAAAATATATAGAAACAAAAACATAGCTTAACACAATTTAGGGAATTTTCTTCTTTGGCGCGTCCCTGTATCAGCTATACATTACTTCTGATGGCCAAAATTCGGGAGCGAGAAATGTTTTTTTGTATTTTACAGGAACCGGGAGCAGGTTGGACTACTATAAGTTAATAAACAGCGAACAATACAATGACCAATTTAATATAATATTCTCGTTCTCATTCTCATTCTCTCGCAAGCGATATCCTATAGTGTCGCTTTATTGTTTCATCGAGTTTCAAACCACAACGATTCTAAAGAAGTTTTCACTTAAACAAATCTAATTGATAACATTCTCTAATTTTCGCCCATAAGAGAGTTGAGTTGTAAAAAGGGCGCCAAGTTCAAGGCATTAAAAAAACACCCGTTCAGATCTTAATTCCAAGCTCTATGATGGTCGCTTAAATCATATGATTATACAATGTTGTTGGAACTGCTATGGAGATTGGCACTCGTTTAAATCTCTGCTTTATATCGACGAAGCCGTCAACTTCAAAATTGGTTTTGCCAAACCGAACTTGGGCCGAAGTTCTTATTTATATTTTTGTGGGGAGTCTTATCCTTTTATTAGCCTTAATAAATACATGGTGTTCCCGCCAAACGCTAATTTCAAGAAACGTCGCCAGGGGGCGCGCAGAGCGGTGATTTTCTACCGTTTGACGTTCGCGCTAAACCGGTCGGAAGTGATTGAATGCAGTGCACTCACTAGCACGGCGTGTTCTCCCCCGGTATAACCTCTCTCTCGTGTCGGGTTTTGCTAGCAAGTTTTTAGGCACCGACGAGGATTTTTGTTGAGTTAAGAAAAATAGATTGACGGCGCGAGTCAGTTAATTGTTTAGGAAGTTAACATTGATTGCGATCAACGTCTGAATTTGTGTGTTATGCGCGCCTAATTTACTATTGAATATTTGGTTTTCGTGTAGACCGCCGCGAATTTGGTTATTCTAATTTGATTGCGTATATAAGTGCATTTGACAATATTAATTTGCTCGTGTGGCATTTGATATAGTTCGGAGAAATTTTCCGTTGTCGGTTATACGCTGAACTTTGTGACTCTAAAGAAGGTCATGTTCGTTTCTAGAAATATTTGTTGCTGAGTGAAAACGGAAGTGAACTTTGTTCCACCGTACCATTGGTCGAGCCTTGTGTTACTTTTTTGGTTACGATTACCGGGAATTTAGTTGAGTTTGAAGTTAATTAAATGTACAATAAAGTTAATGGATTGAAATAGTGTACAATAAAGTTGATAAACTGAAATAGTGAAACGAAGACAGAAGTTGTTAATTGGTGATCGCCCCCTTTTGAGAGATCTCACCTTTGGAGTAGAGGCAGCGCCGGTGGATCTGCAGTCAGACTTCAACGGTCCAGTCAGGTCAAACCATAATACACACCACCAAACACCACTTTACACGCACCGACACCTACCTACGGCCTGACCGAGCCTTGGGACAGTGTTCGCCTCAGAACCAGGTACGTCTTATTTATTTACCTCGCCTTCTACCTATTGTGTAGTATGATAGGTCATTTTTCCATAAGGCCATTCGGGCCCGAACCCTCGGCTGCCCGTCGAGGAGGCTATAATGGGCCCTAGCCAAGGAGATCTTTGCAGGGGCAGCTGGGAGCCGTAACACATGGAGTTATAAATTTTTTCTAGTCTTCACGCTTTATTATTTTCTTTGTTTTAAACTTTAGAAATGAAATGTTAACAAAAAATAAATAAAAGTAAATACAAATAAAAGTTATTGTCTTATATTCTAGTACATAACTTGGAACTAACCACACCAATCACACTGTCGACACCTTGTGAAGTATTGGTTTTTAGGGTTGGGGTAAGGTTAGGTAGTCTGTGTAGTGAATATAATAAAAACTATTTTTAATTCATTTCTTTCATAAACATTAAAGCTAAATTAAAGCACCGTACCGGTAAGCCCAAAGTACCCCCACTAAATGAAGTAATGATTAATGATTATTATAATGATAATAAAAGAATACAACCTTTATTTAGAGACAATGAGTCAAACCAATTACTTCTTCATTTTATCTCGAGAAAAATAAGACTTACGTGACAATATTACGAATGAATCGCTCAAAAAATATTTAAAAATGTCGATGATTTGCTTAAATTATTTTGGAATTCACGACACGTCTAAATAATGTGTATTTTATGATTTGTAAACGTTTTTATATTCTTATAGCAGTTTAATTCTAACATCATTTCACCACGATTACACCACTCCTGATTGACTCACTAAAGTAAACTTTATTTAACACGAGTTTTATTTAATTGGATACGCTGACGCATGCTGTGCGTTTAGGGGATTTACCTAGATAGATAGAGGAATTGATGAATAGAAAATTATTTATTGTACTGATCACTCTACTGAACTGTTCTATACAAAAACGAACTTAATGCTGAAAAGGCATTCCTTGCTAGCTAACGTTTGACAATATTGTGAGAGCCATGGGTCAGCCGCAGCAGAAAAAAGACTAGCATATCATCATTATCATCATTACAGCCCTTCACAATTCCACTGTGATAAATAAAAGGCGTGCGTCGAGTACAGGCATTTATTTGAATTGACAACGGAAATACAATGCGCGCTTACCGGCCAAAACTACCCACCATATTTTATAATATGCAACACCTCCGCCCTTATTTTGTACTATACATAATGACTAAGAACATAAGTTATACTTAAACATAATTATTTTAGATTATTACAAATATTCTACTACTCAAATACTACTACTAGTTCTATGAACCTACTACTCAAATAAATATTACATACAATTTATAATCCGTACGTAAAGTGAACTTTCTACCAAATAAATATTGATGGAATTTGTCCATTGCAAATACTATCGCAAAGCTTCTTTATGAATCTGACTATAGTGTTGTTCAGCGGAGGTGAGCGCGCGCGACGCATACGCCACCACCCGCTCGCCACCGCCAGCGGGCGCGCGCTGCGCTAGCACCGCGCCGAGCCCACGCGAGCTGGCATCGCATGTTACTATGCTCTCCAACGACATATCAAAATGTGTCAACACTTCCGCACTACACAAAAGCTTTTTAATTTTATTAAAACACTTTGTATGTGACATTGTCCATCTCCAATGTTTACCCCTTTTTAATAAGTCATAAAGAGGGGTAGTATGAGCACTTAAATTTTTTATAAATTTCCCATAGAAATTAACCATGCCTAAAAAAGATTTTAATTCCGATATATTAGTTGGATGAGGCATACCTAAAATAGGCTTTAACTTTTCCGGGTTGACTCAAACACCCTTGTTATCTATTATGAATCCTAAATATTTTACTTGGGGAGCCATAAACTCACATTTTTCTTTTTTCATTTTTAATCCGTTAGTTTCCAAGATACTAAATACTTGTTCTATACTTTTTAAGTGTGAATCCCACGATTTACTTTTTATTAGTATTCCGTCGTAAAACACAACCACATCTGGCACATTTTGAAAGAGATTTATCATTATCTTTTGAAAAATTCCGGGACTAGAAGCGAGACCATACACTAGGCGGTTGTATTTAAACAGTCCTCTATGCGTATTAATAACATTGTAGTTTCTAGACGTTTCATTTAAAAGTAACTGATTATATGCTTGTGAAAGATCTAGCTTGGTGAAGTAACGATTACCACTCAAACCACTAAATAAATCTTCTACTTTTGGAACCGGGTACCTATCGACCAACAAAGCTTTGTTCAGTGTCACTTTATAATCCGCGCACAGCCGTATTCCGCCGTCCGCCTTCCTCGCTATAACCAAGGGCGTGGCCCAGTCCGAGCGGTCCACCGGCTCGACGACGCCTGTGCACAGCATCGCGTCCAACTCTGCATCCACCCGCGGGAGTAGCGCGTACGGCACGGGTCGCGCGCGGCAATAAATCGACTGCGTTCCCTCGCGCACGTGCAGCTTGACCTCTTCACCAGTATACTTTCCCAATGTGCCGTGAAATAGATTCTCATGCCTGGAGATAATGTCGTTAAGCGAGTTATTTTTAGATGGTACCATATTATGTATTTCTGTACACTTACTTAGCTTAGGTATTTCTATACACAATTCAGACAGCCACTGTCTCCCTAATAAACTAGTGCTACCCTTATATATTACATATAAATCTAACTGTTTTACATTAGTATTATACTCAACATTTGTCTCCAAGTACCCTATCGGATAAATAGCTGAACCATCGTACAATTTTAATTTTAATTTACACGTTTTTAAAGGTAAATAATTTAATGTATGTTGAATAACATATACAAGATAATGCCGACTCTGTACTGACTTCCATTTTTAAGGGTTTAATTTTTATAATTATGTTCATACACACCGGTCTATACTTCGCTAAGGACATCTGATACAGCGGTTCCTCGCCATCATCAGACGCGTTCTGATCATCCTCAGAGACGTCACCCGTCGCCGGCCCGCTCAACCAGTGCGCCGCACCGGCCGCAGCGTCGGTGCCCGCGCTAGCGCTCGCTCGAGCAGGCATCCGCATACCGCGTGCCGCCGCCGGCCCCGCCCCGCGGCGCTGCTTCCCGCTGTCCGCGCTGTGGCAGCGCGCGAGACCTCTGCGTGAACTTCCTCACGCACCGTTTGAATTTGAATTATCCGATGTCATACGACGATCGAATTCCTTCTTCATGCATACTCTTCGCAAATGGCCTTTTTTCCCACAGTAACTGCATTCAAAATTTTTATACCTGCAGTTTTGTGAGCTAAGTTCGTTGCCACCGCACGCTGAACAATTTCTGTTTCCTAACTTATGTATCTTCTCGCTAAGTTCCCGGTCCGGATCTTGTTCTCGCGAGCCCTCCACAGCTCCCGCATCCCGCTCGGCCGTCTCTAGGGTATTAGTTAACTGTAGCGCTTTTTTATAATCAAGATCATTTTCTGCAAATAACCTCTGTTGAATAAAATCACTCCGCAGACCGCACACAAACTGATCTCGTAGGTTTTCCTCTAAGTTAGTTTTAAACTCGCAATATCTAGCCATCATTTTTAAGTCCGCCGCGTAGTTTTAATTTACACTACAATTTTTAATTTACTACAATTTCATAGGTTTTAATTTTTTTGCGCGGAACCCTAATATGGGACTAATAACAAAAATACAATTTTTAAAGTTTTTGTCTGACTGTCTGTCTGTCTGTCTGTTTGTTCCGGCTAATCTCCGAAACCGCTACACCGATTTTGATGGGATTTTCACTGGCAGATAGCTGATGTCACAAGGAGTAACTTAGGCTAATTTTATTTCAGAGAAAGAATTAGGGTTCCGCGCAAAAAAATTAAAACTCCAAATTACACGCGGGCGAAGTCGCGAGGAAATGCTTACTTATTTTCATGCACAATCCCTGACGGGGTAGCCAGAGAGAACAGATTTTCAAGTGTCACGATTCTTACATACCTCTTTCGCTTCTTTCAGATTCATTATCTTCTTCATACATGCACGTCTAGGTATCCGAGTACTCTTGACCCTCCCCTCTTCGAGCAATTTGCTCACATGGTCTTCGAAAGTTATTCTCGGTCTACCTCGACACCTTTTAACTTTCGCGCTATATATTTTCTTCACCATTCGGTCTTCACTCATTCGCTTAACGTGCCCAAACCATCGAAGTACGCCCTTATCAATTTTTATGATAAGGTCATCTTTCACACCAGCCATATTGCGAATCTCTTCGTTTCGCTTTCGGTCGGCCATGGTAACGCCGCACATTTTACGAAGAGATCGCATCTCCACTTTATTCAACTTGCTTTTATGCTTCTTCTGGCATACCCAGGTTTCGCTGCCATGTAACAAAGTCGGTACCAACACTGCGTTATGTATTGCAAGGCGTGCACTCTTCACTACGACTTGCCTTTTGACTAACGCAGTCAGGGCACCATTGACTTTGTTCCCGTCAGCGACACGCCTGTCCACATCTAAATCACATCTTCCATCCCGGCTAAATGCACTCCCCAAGTATACAATTTCATTTACCTGTTCTAGACATTCCTGATTTACCCATATTTCATACTTCGTTCTTCTTCGTCCCTTTCAAATACCAGAACCTTAGTGTTATTAGCATTCAAACGAGACCTTTAATTTCACATTCCTCTTTCATACACGTGACTAATGCCTGCAGTTCTGCCTCTGATGGTGCAATAAGCACTTAATCATCAGCATACAGCAGACAATTTACTTTTATGTCACCCAATTTCACACCCAAACAGCTATCTTTCAGCTTCTGTAAACAGCTGTCGAGATACAGTATGAACAGCCAGGAAGACATGACACAACCCTGTTTTACGCCCGTTTGGACGCTAAACATGGGTGACAGGTTATGCCCTACCCGCACACAGGCTTTACAGTCACAGTAAAGTGACTAAACAGCCCTTAGCAATCGACCATCCATACCATACCCCGGCAGCAGTTCCCACATTTTCTTCCTTACAACCTTATCAAATGCTTTCTCAAGATCCAGAAAAGCACAGAAAATCTTCTGGTTAGCAGCCAGAAGCGTTTCCGTGATCATGCGGAGAGAAAACATTTGATCCGTGCATCCTCTTCTAGGTCTATATCCGAATTGTGCCTCCCATAGAAATCTTTTCGATTTCTCTTGCATCCTACGTGTCAAAACCTTCGAGTAAACTTTACTTGCTAAACTGGTCAAGCTGATCGCCCGATAGCACCCGCAGTCAAAATGTGAATCTTTACCTTTATATAAAGGCACAATGCCTGCGGATCGCCAATCATCCGGGACATCCCCTGTCCGCCAGCACAAATTGCACAGCAAATAAAAGCTGTCCCAGACGCGAGGCCCACCATACTTGATCATTTCAGCAGTAACTCTGTCTAGTCCCGCAGCCTTACCACATTTCAAACTTTGAATCGCACGTTCAATCTCTTTCATACTGATGACCTCAGTGTCATCGAGGTCCGGGTCTGGCGTACCAGTCACGGCGTCACCCCCGGATCCCTCACTAAGATCATCACATGCATACATTTCTCTATAAAATTCGCTCCATCGCTGCATGACGTCCAATTTTTCTGAGAGGACGTCATTGGTTCTCGAAAGCACTTTGTTCATTCTTAAGGCCGTCGCACCACTTCGGGTCCTTCCAACCTCTTTCCAGAAGAGTTTGGAGTTCTCCTTAAAGTTGTGCGACAACCTTTCGTCCGCTTCCATTCTACACCTTTCACGCACTTCCTCAATCAATGCTTTGGTGTGAACTTTCTGCAGCTTATATCTTTCTTTCATCTTCTCTCTCATATCCTTATCATTACTAGACGCCAAGTAGTCTAACCATGCTTTCTTCTTCTTCTTTACAGCTTCTTTCAGTTCATCATTCCACCATGCATCTCTTCTTTTACTACTACCTCTTTTTATCGTTCCACACACTTCTTCCGCTGCACTTATCATTTCATCCCTAAGGTTCTGCCATGTTCTTTCCACACATTCTTTTCTGCCATCGATGGTGTCAAGCTTTTCGGCTACCCTCGCATGATATTTGTCCCTAGTATCCGCTTGCTGAAGCTTCCAGCTTCGGATGCGACAGACCAACTGTGGTTCTGTTACTGCCGTCCGGTAGCGCCAACCCGCGAACAGACCCCTAAATCTAGTAATCACTAGATAGTGATCCGTTCCCATGTCAGCACCCCTGAACACCCGCGTATCCATCACCTGTTTTCGCAGTCGGTCGTCCACCAGGAACAAATCGATCATACTTCTCTCATTCTTTCTTTCTCTAGTACACATATAGATTTTCTTGTGATTAAACATAGTGTTTGTCACAAGAAGACCCTTTTCCTTGAATACAGCCAGTATAAGCTTGCCAGCATCATTAACCCTTTTATCGCCAAAGGTCGCTCGTACCCTGGTCGAGCGGTACCAACCCTTCCATTCAAGTCACCACATACAACAATTCTTTCGTTTCCCCTAACCAAATCTAGAACTTCTCTTAAATTCTCCCAAAACTCCTCCAGCTCAGCCCTGGACGACGAAGCTACTGGCGCATAAACAGCCAAAAGGAATAACTCCGTCAGTCTTAATTTGAAGCGAACCCAGAGAAGTCTTGAGTTCACAACCTTATATTCAGTCATAACATCGGAGGAACAGCTAGTTAGGCAATAAAAGTATACTTCTGAACATTTTTTTTCCCGTAGAAGGAATAATTTGCCAAAATTGCCAAGCTTCATAGGAACATTAGCGAAGTACCATACATTTCGTACTTTAGATTAGACGCCC